ATTCTTGTACTGGGGTTTTACTCAGGTCTGTCTGGTTGAGTTAGGACGGTGTATCTTTTCAGTCTGTGTGAAGTTTCGCTTTTGTCCAGAAGGTTCACTGCTAGTGCATTAGTGTGGGTTTATAATTTTCTTAAATATTTGGTATTCGACTTTTTCATTTCACTGAGCACTGTGTTAATTTGTAGATCTTCCTGGACTCTGAGGTTGTTTATGTACCAAGGTGCGTTCAGAATCGATCGGAGAGTCTAGGATTGAAATCGATGTTAGAAATGGAGGCTGTCGCCAATAGCTGAATTCCATAGGTCCATATGGGTTTGAGTGTTGCTTCGTATAGGATTTTACACTCTACTGACAGTGTTGACCCTCGTCCGAGTAGCCAGTTCTTTTGTTTCGCTCAGTCAAACCTCAATTCTTCTTTTGGATATTTCCCATGCTTGTAGCTGGATGTTACACCAGACCGCTTACACCTTAATCTCTTAGCCTATAGTGTTCATAACATTACCTTCATTCCTTGGTTCGAGTTCTGCAACCATTGCGATTTAACCCCTAAAAATTGTTATCATGCCTCACAGAACCGTCATTATTCTACTTCAATTCGTAATAATCTGCACTGTCCCTGGTTGAACTTCTGATGCTTTCAGGACTTGCTCCGAGTTATCTCGATACTCCCAGTTTCCTAAGGCGCCAGACATGTGACACTGTTCACGAACTCCTACATCGATTGCCTTCTCAGGTGAAATCTGTCTCGCTGTTTTGTTGATCGTTTACTTGCCGTGTCTCTCTTCAATTTTCGCAGACCCCAGGTTTCCATTTGCCTATTAATCAGGTCCTCCAAAAGACCGCGAATGAATTAGCACTATATTTTAATGCCGTCCTCTATAAGTTACGCAACCGATCACAGTCGCTGGGCGGTCTAAGGCATGAACTGTCTTCGCCCGCTCGAGCACCGGAATCGTGGTTTCGAATCCCAATCAACGCATGGATGTTTGCTCCTGTTTATTCTGTGTTTATGTCACGTAGCGGCCTTGCGACGGGCTGATTCCCCGTTCAAGGGGTCGAACCGACTGTCTTCGATTAAGAAACTGAATTGAAATGCGTTTCAGTGATGCCCTGTGTTCCAAGTGGGATCAACAGGAATACAGGAAGAAGAAGAATATATTGCTTCGCAATCAGATTAGAAACCGTAAAATAATATTTGACTCACAGATAGTAGGGGGGTACGAACACATAATTTGTAAATACTGGCAGAGTCTCAAACCGTAATCTGGTACTCGTACAGAAACGAAAATATTAGCGTAGTAGGTCTACTAGCATATAAATTGTAAATACTTACCAGGTTCCAAATATTAGTACCGAAATTTTAGCAGTGGCCAGGTTCCAATAATTAGCCCGATAGGCCAGTCTATCACAAGAGTAAATGGTGGTTACGTTACGAATATTTGGCCAGCAAGTCTACATACAAGCACAAAAAAGGTAAACACTGCCATTGTTCCAAATATTAGCCACATAGGGGTCGACTCGGCCTCTAACAGAAATGAGTACCAGGAATGTTTCTGGGGGTAGAGGGTGGCCGACGCGTAAAGCTGACTACCTTACTGCCATCTGTGAGTCGATTCTTTACAGAGAGTTTCGAAGTCTCACAACCCTATGGGCCCCCACGGCCTGTTGTAAGGTTAGCTTTACTTTTTTATCTATCAGGTCTACTAGCACATAAACTGCAAAACAAATAGTGGCCAAATTTCAAATATTAGCCTGTTGGCTCTACTAGCACAGAAACTGTAAACAGTGGCCACGTTACAAATATTAGCCTGGCAGGTGCACCAGCACAGAAACTGTAGATAGTGGCCAAGTTACAAATATTAGCGTGGCAGGTCTATGACGTCAGAAACGTTATACGGCGGCCAGGTCTCAAACATACCTAATAACCTGTTACACGTAATACCACGGTCTGGCAAATCTACTGCCACATAAATTGGAAATAGGCCTAGTGGCCTGTGCCTGGCAATTGCACTAGCAGAGAAGCTGTAAAACAGAGGCGAAATAGCAAACAGTAGCATGGCAGTAGTCGTAACCTTAAGCAGTGGCTGTATGTTAGAAAGGGAAACCCCAAAACACTTGTCTATTCTCTTATAATACTACACCATCTGTATCATAAACAGTGGCTGGGGCTTAGGTAGTAGCCGGATAGTCCTGCTAAGCACAGGGGCTATAAATAGTGAGCTGCATATCAAACAATAGGCTGGTACTAGCCGCGAAATATAAAACGGCCTCGTAGTCAGGTCTCCAAACAGTAGCCACGTGACCGACCAGATTCTAGTGACCCTTGGTGCCTATGTGATAATTCTGATGGTACCTGTATTTGGCAGGAACCGTGGTAGAGTAGTCGGTATAGCGACTGGCTACGGGCTGCAAGACTGAGGGGTCGGAGTTCGAGTCCCGGAATGGTCAAGAATTTTCTCTTTTCTAAATCGTCCAGACCGGCTCTGTGGTCCACCCGACCTCCTAGCCAATGGATACCGGGGGTAAAGCGGTAGGGGCGTGAAGCTGACCACTGACCTCCATCTAGCACCGAGGTCAAGAAAATGGGGATCTATACATCCACTCCCTCATACGTCTTCATAGAGTAGTGCTTAATTAGCTAAGCACAGGGACAACTTTACCTTTCACCTGTATTTGACACGATAAGTTATTATCATGCCTAAACATTTTAATGCAGATTAATAAAAGCAGGTAAGAGATAGAACGAGTTTAGGATCATATTTGTGCTATCCAGGATGACAAATGCATCAAATTTCTCACTCGGACTTCATCATGTGGATGGTGGACTTTAAATCAAGATTGGGTATATGGCTATGCGACGAATTGTGTCGACGCTGCCTAGCACCGGACACCGGGTCTCCCACAAACTGTTCCTCTATAACCTATAGACAAAAATTATTATCACTGTTGTCGCCTTTAGAAACGGAATTTCTCTTACGTTGCAGAAAATAATTCACAAGTAAAATATACCGAAGTCCAATGGCAATGCACACAGTACAGCATTATAAGGGAGCACGCGGTAATGTAGTTTGTTGAGGCACTATGCTACAAGACGGAAGGTCGTGGCTTCGATTCCCGATGAAGTCACTGGATTTTTCAATTAACTTAATCCTTCCAGTCGCATTATGGCTCTGGGGTCGAGTCAGCCTCTAACGGAAATAAAAGAAGGAATCTTCCTGGGGGGTAAAGGGCGGCCGGCACGTAAGGCTGACGACCTTACCGCCATCTGTGTGCTGAATGTCTATGATATGTGGGAGTGCCGACGTCTCACAACCCTTTGGACCTCCACGGCCTGTTACAGGGATAGCTTTCCCTAATAATAGCAGGCATTTATTGATTAAAATTAAAACATTCTAATACTTAAACAGTGTAATGTAATATCTGATTCAAACTGAGACTTAATGAAGAATTAACCCGTGCTACAAACGCAATCTGGTAACAAGAGAGAATTTTATGGTGCTGCATCCTGTTTGTGACGCTTACAAATAAAAATGAAGCAGTCACCGCCACGTATTGTACATTTACTGCCGGGGTTCTACTGACAGCCTAGCCCATGTGGGGAACTTTTCATGTCACAATTTGTGCAGGTGTTACAGACATTTAATAACACTTCTGTAGGTTGGGTAAATATATAACAGGCAACTCCGCGGAGTACAGACTTTAAACAGCTGATAATTATTGAGCCAGTCAAGAAATTACCCACACTTACACAATCCGAAAGTTCACTACAGTGTTCTGAAGAGCTCGTCATGGTATCCTTTCCTGAGCCAGATAAATCCACTTCATATCCTCATCCCCTAATCCCCTTTGAGCCGTCCCCCGTCTCTCAAGTGGTGGTTCCCGATCCAAATTTTATTTCTATCAGTTGTATCCCATGGGTGTTACATGTCTCCAATAGTGCTTTGTGAAGAGTACATATTATTAACATCCTGGTTACGTAATTTTCTCCACCCACCTGTTAGGTCTACTTCGCTTTCTTTCGGCAAAGTATTCTTTCAAATATTTTGTTCCGAAATATCCCGGATCTATGTTCCCCTCTTTAACATCGAACTCTACATCCATATAAAACTACTGAGTAACATTATCATAATTTATGTGTTTTCAAATTCAAGTGGTTAGACAAGACACAGGAAAATATAACACATGCATTAAGAGGCGCGGTACTGGTAACCAATGGCTGTTACACCTGCTAAATAAAATATATTTTCTGACGCCACTGTAATACAATTGCATAAATCTGCTTCACTCCATTCCGTCAGAGGGACGCTGCTTCTCATTCATGAAATGCACTGTGCCTGTCTCTGTGGCCGGCTCCAACCTACATCAGCAGCAGCAAACCATCACGAGACAAAGCAGCGTTGCCACGTACGCAACTTCCCACGCTCAACTACATTAACTGCATGGCAGGTTACATGTGGCAACGTTGTGCATGCGCAGAGACGTTCCACTCAATACACACATTCTAGCTAGCCGATAAAGGAAAGAGGAGCGTACATTACATCCAAACTTCTCTCTCGTTCTCCACGCTCTCTCCCGTTCTCTCTCTCTCACTCACTGATTAAAGCTGCATTACTCCGACAGGGTGGTCGATACTATGGAATCCAGAGGGCAGGGGATTTGCCTCTGGTAGCGAAGGGCGACATGGAAACACAGAGAGTATTATAAGGGAAGGGAATATGACCCTTAGCGAGCAAGGGAGGAAAAAAACTGGAAGTTCTCCCCTGCTCGCTTGACTCCGGCAGTGGCGACTGCGATGGTATGTTTTGTCAATATTCGAGAGGGGGTGAGAAAGAGAGTGCCGGGGAAGTGGCAGAGAGCGAGCGAGAGAGAGAGACAGACGGACGAGAATGACAAGACACAACCAAAGGGTACCTACTACCTCCAGATATTTATTACACGAATTACAGGAAGTAAATTATTTTGCAGAAAAAGTAAAAAGGGAGCTGGCGTATTTGACTCACCTCGGATGTTCAATATCAACACGGCAATACATTCCTCTCGTTGGTTAGAAAATGTGACACAGCCTTCTGACACATCACGTATTCAGTCACAAACAGGTTCACACAGGTCATCACCACTGCACAGTAATTGCATATGCACTACACGCCCAAATAGATGAATGCATAGTGTTAACCTTCAGTCCGCAAGTCGCACAATTCGCCTCCTCTCGCCACAATGTTCAACTCTACACTCAGCTGCTATGCCCCTCACGAAGGCCTATGACCAGCCTGGCTGGGGTTTTCGAGCTGCAGAGCATTCTGGGTAAAACGAAGTGTTCTAAGCCTATATCGACCCCGCCTTACGCAGGCCACACCCGCAGCCAATGGGAATACACAATGGCATCTGACGTCAGCATCACGCTCAGTAGTGGGGGAAACCCCCTTCCGGTTTTGTAGATAGCTGCGGCTCTTGTTTACGAACGCCTTGATGTGGTAAACTTGGGTACATCAGGAGTGAGGGTTATGTCAGGCACAAGGTGTCAAACACCATAAGTCTACTTATTACTTATTATACAAAGTTAAATTGCTCCCAATAATTAAAACTGGAGACATGTAAAAAAACTGTGTTTTCTGTTTAGTTGTTTCACCAAGATCAATGCAGAATTATGTTTAATTTCCTGTTCCTGCACCGTGTAGCTTAGCTGATTTCCGCAGCTTCCTTCGGAGTCCTATGAACTGATCTCAGCGATTTATTTTTGTCTCCATTTTGCAAGCTATACGGTGCATCTAGTTTGTTTATGGTGGGCGTTTTCAGAGAAAACAGAGGAAATTTCGTTTTTCTCTGATGTCTATTTCGTTGCTGGTCATCTTGAAATATCCAGTACAGGTTGAAGAGATACTCACACTTCCAACTGCTTCCAGACTCCCATGCCTCTTTTCATCAGTAGCCAAATCTATGCATAGACTATATAAAATATACTTTTGCCGTGACATGGTATACATTTGTTCTTATTTCTGTTTCTGACAACATTTAGGCCTACTCACTGAATTCCTCTTCATTTTAACCTCTCTTTCAACAAGCGGTTAAGGGCTTACTTGTGTTTCCAGTTGTTTTCGTCCTACTCTTATGCTACATTACGTATCAAATCGCTGAGTGACTAACAACCGGGTCTGTTACTTAAAACGCAGGGCCGCTGGCTTCCTACCGCGGCGGCCCGGGTTCGATCCCAGGTCTGGTCAAGTGGGATTTGTGGTGGACAAAGTGGCACTGGGGCAGGTTTTCTCCGAGTACTTCGGTTTCCCCTGCCAATCTTTATTCCACCAATTGCTCCACAATCACCCTCACCTATCATCTGGGGCTGGTACAATAGGCCAGAAGTGGCCGCAGTACAAAGGACTTAGTCCCACCCCACTACCAATAAAAAGTACTTAAAACGTAAAGTTTTCTGTGTGCTTAATTTCTTAAGCACTAAGCCATGAAGACATGTGAGGGAGTGGAGGTATAGCTCCACCATTCCTTATCTGGTCACTAGATGAAGTGAGTGGTCAGCTTCACGCCCCTCCTTCTTTGCCCCCGGTATCTATTGGATAGAGGCTGCATGGACCTCGGAGTCGGTGTGGATGTTGTGGAGAAGAGAAAAATTTAGCACTGCTGCGAATGGAACTCGGACCTTCAGTCCCGTAGCTCGCTGCTCTACCGACTGAGCAATCCCGATTCCTTGGTCTGTTAAATTATCTCTTACAATTTTTCATTAAAGAATTGAAGAACTGTAGGCCTACCTAGGCATGTGTTGCATAGCCGAACATTCTCTTAATAGCTTCTGCTGCGTAGGCCCAGTGAGCATACCTAGGGATCGTTATATTTCAGTCGGTTTATGGACTAGGATAAAGGGTTGAATTCGGAGGAATAGAGGTTCAGTTCCCGGTAAGGTTAAGTGATATTTCTCTCTTTTACAGCATCCAGAGTATTTCTTGAGCCAACCCTGCGTCCTATCCGAGGGCTCTATTCTGGGGGTTAAGTAGCTTAAGCGTGAAGCTGATTATTTTTAAGGCTGAAGTAATTATTATTTTATCAACTGTGTAAAACATGTGTCTATCTGAGTTATCAGTTCCATTCTCACTAAAAACACAACGGCTTAATTTCTTCCAAGCAAATCGTCCTTCCTCGCCCTGTCAAGTGCCAGTTCATTTTTTCATAAATATCTATTTCGGAATAGAGTAAGGACAGAAGGGGCCGCGCCATAGCTCAAGCGGTTAGTCGCTAGCTTCCCACCTCGGTGGCCCGGGTTAGATCCCGGGTCTGGTCAAGTGGGATTTATGGTGGACAAAGTGGCGCTGGAGCAGGTTTTCTCCGAGTACTTCGGTTTCCCTTGCCAATCTTCATTCCACCAATTGCTCCACAATCACCCTCACCTATCATCTGGGACTGGTACAATAGGCCAGAAGTGGCCGCAGTTCAAGGGACTCAGTCCCACCCCGCTAACAATAAAAAATAAAAACGGCCAGAAGGCCGTTAAAATTAAACGGGAAAGTACTCATTTCCTGCAGTGAGTAAATTTATTTACACATCAACTAATTCCAGTGGAGTCTGCAACAGAACAAAGAGTGTGAGGTAACATGCACGAAGCAGCGCAGGTATAGTTCTGCCATTCTTGACCTCGGCTGTTGATGGAGTTAAGTTGTCAGCTTCACGCCACGACCACTTTACATTCGAAGACACATCCTCATGTACCCATTGGATAGGAGGTTGTGTGCACCACAGAGCTAGTCTGAAAGATTTGGAGAAGAGAAAATTCTTGACCATACCGGGACTCGAACTCCGACTTCTCAGTCATCCAGCCCGTAGCCAGTCGCTATACCGACATATCTCCTCCATGTTCAAGACTGAATAATGAACCAAGAAAGAAACCATCATGAAGCACGTAGAAAGTTCTGCTTGGCTTATTTTTCAACCTTGAAGACGGAGACAATATTTTCCCCCCAAACGCCCCGTGATTCTTAATGGACTGCGCGTGTTTCCATTAGCCAGGCGGAGGGACTGCCGTTGTCGAGGGTACAAGGAATGAACATGGAAGAAGTTCACAAGTTTTGGAAGCGTGTCTGAATGAAGGGAGTCTCCTATAGAAGCTACACAGGACATTCAATGTTAGAGAATCCGGTATTCGGCTAATAAATAAACTCGGAAAATTTGTAGCAATGAAAGGGGCCAAAAATATGCAGGTTCTTACCCCTCGTGAGAGAAGGGGGAAATGTAAGAGTGATGGCATGTTGCAATACTGAAGAACACTCCCTTCCACCAGTCCTAATTTTGAAAGGATTTAATAAAAAAACAAGAATATGTGTACGGCCTTCCACAAGGATCACAAGTGTACATGAACTACATGCCCTTCTGCATTAATTCGAGTTTTTATATAATTGTTTCGGGAGAATTTTATTTCGAGAAAACCGTCAGAGAAATGGTTCCTTGTTCTCAATGGCCATGTTTCTCATTGCAGTACGTCTGAAGTGTTGGAGTTAGCAGACTCAGATGATGTTACTATGTCATCACACAACTCGGGCTCTTCAGCCACTGGATCGCTCTTCCTTCAAGACCCTTAACACCTATCAGAGTCAAGAAGCAATAATTTGGTTGAGAAACCACATAGAACGGAACATAACACGGTCATCATCATCAGTAATCTGTCAAGACGACAGGTCCACACTCTCTTCCAAAACAATTCCTCCACTTAATGCGATCTAGAGCTTTCTCCTTCAAATGACAGTATCCTATTCTGTCCCCAAGGTCATCCAGCATCTTCTTACGTCTTCTTCCTCGTCTTCTGGTCACTTCCATCCGCCCCTCTATCTTTCCTTCGATAACTTCTTTTAGAAGGCAGTTACCGCGTAAGATATGACCAATCCAATTAACCTTCCGTTTTCTTATTTCGTGTAGGATATTCCTTTGCTCGCTGACTCTAATTAACACTTCTTCATTTCTCACATAATCGGTCCAACTGATCTTCTCCATCCTTCTCCAACACCACATTTCGAAACTTTCCAGATGTTTCTGATCTACTGCCCTAAGTGCCCATGTTTTAGCCCCATACAGAGCTATACTCCAAATGTAGCATTTCATAACACGGTATTAAATAGAAAAAAGCCTAAGGAAATTCTGTCTCTGTTTCAAATGGCAGCTCAAGGTTTAAAGTAACTGGTATTTTTCCTATAAAGAAAATGCAATTCCGGGCAACTTTTCCTCCATTGCAGACATTTAAGTGACTCCATGCTTAGAGACAGAATCCAAACCTTCAACATCCACATGGAACATATCCAGAGATCCAGAGCCATCCGCCCCATCAGCCAATGATGGAGTTGATACAAATTGCAATTATAGCATGAGAGGAACGCATCAGCAGACGAGAATTTCCGAGCAGGAAATACATCGGAAAGATAGAAACCACAGATGAAGGGTAAACGGTGAAATGTCCCTGAGAAAAGTTAAGAATAAAACGATATTTATGTCAGTAACATTTTTTGTGAATGTTGGGAAAATTGAAGAAAGCAGACTGCTTTTACCGTTTCTCACGGTCTCTTCGCTTGCAGATTTCTTATATTTTTTCTTCTACCCTGAAGATAGAGGCGATACGTTCCTCCGAAACGTCGATTAACACCACATATACACGGTGCCAAATCCCAGAAGACTGCTTTCTTCATAGTCACCGCCGTGAAAGCCTCAAATCTTACATACGTTGGGAAAATTATTTGTAGGGAGCATCAAATTCTGGCTGAATTCAGTGTGGAAAAGCAGAGAACGAGTGCGTAAGACTTGTATCTTGTATGGGCGCTTTTGTAATTGATTTGGAACGGATGGGAAGAGAAAGAGAAAAAGAGTGAAGAGGCCTGCTGTGGCATCTGTGTCACACCTCGGGGTGTGTTGACGCAAAGGCACTCTTTTCTTTGCCTTGAGCATTTAATCATATCTTTTTTAGTTTCAAGTCTTGTAGATTGTATGCTTACAGCAGAGGCAGCATTCAAAGAAAAACAAGAAATAAACGCCTTTGCCTGTAGTCCGCAAACGAGTTATACCGATCGAGCGACCGCCACTCGTCGGCGAAGTTAGTGCCAAGTTTTGCGGATAGAGGGTGTGACATGGTCAACACAACGGATCCTCACGGCCTTTAATCTCATTTTTCTAGACCGGAGTCGCAATTTCCTTGAAATAGCTCCTCAATTATCATCACGAGGCAGAGTAGACCCCATTCCAGACCCATTACTTCTCAGAAAATCCGGTAGCACCGGGAAT